TAGCATGCGCGCTGACACGGCATTTTTTTCTTTTTTTCCGTGTTTTTTTTATCAATTTCTTATATCTTTACTTCTAATATAATTCAAATTCACCATCTGACATCATGACAGAGTTGGCGGAGCTAATGTGGTCTGGGACCATCTTAGCTCCGCTCCTGGGAATAAGTGCTAACATGGTGGGCACAAAAAATATTTCTATACTCACGCTAATATCACTTATAAGACTTATTTACCTATTACATTTGATCTAATATGACATAAGGCGATATAATAATAGCATAAAAATAAAAAAGGTAAGCCAAAACAGATAATATATAGCATAATATGACGCCTGAGAGGAAAGAGACTTTATGGACCAAAGCCTTCTGAAGGCGATATATCCATTCTCTAGTCTCTATAATGAGAAAAAACGGAGATAGATGATGGCTAACTGTATTAACACTGGTATGTTACATAAAAAGTGTAAAGAAAGCGAATTTTTCAGGGAAAAAATATTTCCCCGCGTACATGGGCTGCCGCGCGTATAGGTCTATAACTTGGAAGTAGGTTATTTACCTATTTTGGGCTGTAGAGCCAATATTTATGAAGGAATTGACCTGATTTTCACAACAAAGGAAGAAGAATGATTGATCTACACAAATTGTTCCGATTTTTGACGTATCCCAAATATTTTTCAGGTTTGTGTGAGTAAACAAGGGCGATATCTTCCTAAATGTCATGAAACTTAGAAAATGTATTTTTTTATAATTTTGAAAATTTGTGTGGACTGCCTCCAAGTGAGTCGCCTACCCTGGCAAACTCTGTTGACACCGAGCTCTGAGGTGGGTACCTCAGCCTCACAAGTGGCTTATAGGACAGATTTTCACAAATGATTGGTATTGCAAGAAATCTCGCCTGCATGCACGTATAAAGGACTAACTTACTTGGTGTTGCAGCATATATCCTGATCTTCAACTTCCTAAGCCTAGCTTTAGCCCCTTTGGACTTCCCCTCAGAAACCACGTGCAACCGGGAGCATTCCTGCAATATTCAATCGTAATTAGTGTCCTGCCTGCACCTCAGAAATTCCTATATCCAAGAGGGTATGTATCCCCTAGTATAACTATGCAGACTCAGACACTAGCTTCAGACGGCTCTGAGACACTGGTACTTACTGGGCATGCTCTCTCTGTAGCACGCCGGGCCCATAGTTAAAACTCATCCCACAATCTCCCAAGACACTGGCCAGAACCTACGGGAAAAGGTGAAGATCTTGTCTTACTGTAAGGGCTGATGGAGGAGATCATCTACGGTACATCGAGGTGCCTCTACCAGATTTCCCCAGGTCTCAGATGTGAAGACACGTGGGGGCGCCATCTGCTGTTCACGGCACGTCTTGTCCAGTTGGTGTCTGTCGTAAGAAGAGCGAGCTGGTCTCCCTTCCAGACCCTCGTCTCTTTGTTCAAACTAGGGCTGCCAGTTCTCCCTAGCTAACTTATCCTAGTGTTTGCCTACATTATCGGCCTATTACTACCTATGTTAAGGTCTTAGGTCTACTTTTTCATTATCTACAGATGCCTTAGTAAACCTAATATTAGTGTACTACCAGTAAAACTACCTACTCCTTCGCTGAAGAGTAAATCTATAAATTAAATAAGCTTACCAACAACCGCCAACCAGAGAATGCCTTGTTTGGGAGGGTTTAAGGGCCGCTCGGCTCAGCTGACCAGACGGCCATGCTGGATCTGAGCTGTGGAACTATTTGGACCAAATAAATTTCCACATAATGAAGATAAGGTTTATTACGAACTTAGGAACAAGGGATGATGAAATTTGAAGTATCTATCAGCAGCAAGTGTCAGAACCACTTTTCCAAGTACCACTTTGACCCTGTGTGCTGCCAAATGTAATTTTTCATAAGTTTTGCCTTTTTTCATTTGCTTTTCGACCAATCTTTCTGACACTTCATCAAGCCATGTTTGATATAGGCTTCTATTAGTACACCACAATTGAACAAAATCTGTCGGCAAATAAAAAAGTTGCCCATTCTCGTTTAACCCCTTCCCCCCTGTGCCGAGTCTCGCCTTGCGATTACTTGCTGGTTAGCGTAGAGGCAGGAGGAATTCTACCGATTGACTAGTTTCGGATTTATTAGATAAACAGAGGGTTCACAGTGTGAATAGTGAGATAGGCAGAAAGCCAATCAGGGAGGGGGAACTGTTGATCCTAGGTGGAGGGGACATTAAGTGAGGAGGTAGTATGACGTCACCCTGAGCTAGGCAGGCCTATACCGCTAGGTGTCAGCAGTGTAGTTCCCGTGAAAGATGAACTCAGCTGGCAGACAACATAGGCTGTCTACATTCGCTTGGCCACGCACCACGTGCCGTCTCAACACGATATTACAGGTGGGCAGAAAGGAAAATACTAAGGAATTAATCCCTGCAGGACTGGCTTTGTCTCACCCCAAAATCAAAATTGACAGAATTCTAGCAGGCCTCAAAAACTTTCCCATATATCCGGTGGAAGAGAAAATGTTGTGCTCAAGCAGCATAGTGGAGAATGGAGGCAGGAGACCCAAGCACTGGGTCTTTTGTACAGGTTGGTCACAGAGCTAGGACATCAGGCTTGACTGCACATCCCTGGGACACTGTACCATCCACTCATCCAGAAACAATGAGTGACAGTAGCATTTCCTAGGGTGTGACATGTAACATACGAGGGCAGCACCGCCCTGACTTTAATACCGACCTTAAAATACACGCTGCGTGCAACAAACTTGCAGTGACATTTTCAAGGAGACTTATAACAATACTACGGGTACTCTTCTAAAAACATAAATTACATATATACATGGCGTTGTCCACCCTGACTCTGCTATTTGGACTAACTGGTATGCACATTAATGCCTGCGGCATGCAAAGAGTATGTAACCTTTATTTGGCACGTGTACACACCCTCATTGAAAGGCTATCTTCCCAACCAGTGAACCAGTACTAGGGTCGAGTGATGGGGCCCCATCGTTCGATCAGTACCAAGGTTCAGCCAATGAAAAGATGGGTCTGGCAATCGTCGAGGTGTTGTGGTCACCACCCACCAGTCCACCCTTGTCATTTCCATTGCAGAGCTGGTTGTGCACGGTTGTCCATTCTGTCTCCAGGCTGTGTTCTTGGCCTTTGACTAACCGTATTGTACACATACATTTCCAACTGTATATAGTGTACACATGTGTAAATAATCACTATTGCTCTTGGTGAAGAAAGATATATTTCAAAGTCATTCAGCTGTGTTCTGCTCTTTGCTCCCCTTTACACCCAGGATAACAGGCCTTATTGTGGCTGGGTTTTTATAATGCCCATTTCAGCGAGAAGACAGTGTAGTCAGCATAGGAGTCGGACAAGTCGACAGGTACGTCAATGTCACAGAAATGTGTTGCTGTCCTGGGTTTCAGACCATAGGTTTGTAACCTTACAGGGCTGTCATTGGTCGTAGTATTAGCGGGGCGAGAATTAGACAGGTTGTCACTAGTAACAGTCTGGTTGTGGCTTTGCAACGCACGTTTCTCCATCTCAACCTCGGCTTGCACGTTGTCACTACTTTTATGTGGTCAAGGTGAGCTTCGTTCTTGTGGCAAGGTGCAATAAACATCTGCTTGTCATGGTGGATAACTTGACACGGTACTGTGAGCTAGTACCCATCCCTGACAAAACCGCCGAGACTGTTGCAAATGCTTTCCGGGAGCATGTTGTTCTCCATCATACTTACCAACGTGTCCTTCTATCAGACAATGGGTCGGACTTCATAAATGCCACACTGCAGGATCTAGATTTAACATTCACCAAGTGCCAGTAGCTCCACGCCATCCTGCGAGTAACGGCCTTGCTGAAAGTACAAATCGCAAGGTCCTGGAGGTGCTCAGAGTAATTATTAATCCGAGTTGTACCACATGGGATGAGGTCATTCCCGATGTGCAGTGTACCCTAAACTCGTCACACAACAGCTTGATTGGTGAGACACCCCATTTTGCATTGTGTAGCTATGACAAGCGTTTGCCATACGAAATTGTTTGCTCCACCTCAGTCTACTTATGACACTGACAACGTCAGCTGCCAGGGTAATACCTATGTACCTTACTGCCTTGGTAGTACCTACGTAACTTACTGCCAGAGTAGTACCTATCAAGGTTTGCTTGTGTGTGACAAAATTCGTCAGTATTGTACAAACAATTATATAAAAAAACTTGGAATTTATGGGAAACCGAGCCATACCTGGAGAATGGTTTATCTGATCGGCTTCAAATTTTCACCTCTGGTGTGGTTTCCTGGCCAAGAGACCCGCAGAAGGTACCGGGGCGTTAGAAAGGTCATAAGAATGGTCCGATAACGAGGCAGGTCATAAGAGGACCCCATGGTCAGGTCACATTTTTCTTTTCGTTTTTCCGAAAAAAAAAAGAAAAAAAAGAAAGGAAAAAAAAGAAAAAAAAATGGGGGAACCAGGAGGAATAATTCCTAGGAGGAATGAAAGGGCCGTATATCTCCCTCCGCACCCAAGAGGACCTCAGTACAGTCAGCAGTGCAGATGCGGCATGGAACCTGTGCTATACCCTACCCTTCATGCCAGCAATCCAGAATTGCAACCTCACCCGAAAGACCCCCATAGCCTCCCTCTGAGAAACCGGAGAGGGATCGGGATATTCCCAGATGATCCAGATTCCACAGCAAACTACACCACCGCGAAGGACCTCAACGAAATGGAATGGATCACGGTACCATTTTCCCAAACCTAAAACTATAATGCTTGAGGGAGGACCCAAAGGCTGAAAAGAGGGAAGAGAGAGGGAAGGGATGGTGAGAGGAGAAGAAATAGGAAAGGAAGGATGGGGAGGATGGGAAGGAAGGAGGAGTTGGGGGTAACTAGGTTCAGTCGAAGGAAGAAGACCGAAAGGTTCAATTCCTCTGACCAGAAGCCTCTTCACCGCGTCGAGGAGCCCCCCCCCCCCATCCTTGAAGAGGCACAGTTTGCCAGCGTAGTCAACCAGCAGCTTAAACTTACTGTGTGCGTCTTCCTCTCTCAGTAGCTGCTTACCGACCACAGAGTGAGGATGTATGCAGGTGAGTGCTGTTTCACCTACACAGTGACCTCTTCCTCCCGACAGGGGAGGTTACTGGACGCCCCTGCGGGAAGATGCCGTTGTCTAGTCTAAAGTAATCTGTATATCCTCCATCCTTTCTTCAAAATTAGGATGCTTAAATTTCATTGTCATAATACTAAATTCTTATAATTTCACATTGTAAATTCCTTTAAACTGCTCCATTGTAATATTTCCATATTGTGATTTAATTCAAATTGTACCATTGTTTGTAATAATGTAACTTTTATAAACTAATCTTAAAACTGTAATTATTCACTACTGAACTTCTCTACTAAATTTATTATAGCCTGTTAGCATTACCTGTAACAACTTAATTCATCTGTAACTACTGTAACTCATCCAATGACCATTTAATTATCTGTTATTGCCTTACAAATCTTAAGTTAATACTATTAAGTTTGTCCGAAATGCTCTGCACACAAGGGGATTCTGACTTGTACACCCAACTATTATATTTCTTTATACAAGTATGAATCATGTCAAACTAAATTTCTTATTCTTATTATGTTCAGCGCTACATCATTAGGTCCTGGTGAGTCAGTGGGAGTCTGGATCCTCCATCTGGTAAGTCTGGAGATAATTAAATTTAGGGGTCAAACAAAGCCTGGGGAATGGAAAAATAATCATCATCGATCCAAGGAAAGAGAAGACAATTCCTTGGATTAAGAGTCCCTTAAGGAACTTCGCTTGAGGGCTAGTAGTCTGGAGAGTTATTTATTACTATTATTACTATTCAATATAGACTTACCAGAGGATGGTCTACTATGGCTTATCATTGTATCAGTAATCAACCAGACGAGAAGCACCAGTTGTGGGGTGTCCTGTTCTGAAATTTCACACTTGTAGTACACAGCACTACTACACCAGTACACAGTACTGGTGTAGGAATGTACCATCACGGTAAAGGGGTACTGGTGTAGAAGTGGACCATCATGGTACACGGGTACTGGTGTAGGATTGGACCATCATGGTACAGGGGTACTGGTGTAGGTACCGTCCTCGTACAAGGTTAGTGGTGTAGGAGTGTACCATCATGATACAGGAGTACAGGGGTACAGGTTCAGGAGTGTATTACCATTGTTGAGGGGTATTGGTGTAGGAGAGTACTACCATGGTTCCGGGGTATTGGTGTAAGAGTGTACCTTCGAGGTACAGGGGTACTGGTGTAGGAGTGTACCATCATGGTAGAGGGGTACTGGTGTATTTGTGTACTATGATGGTTTAGGGGTACTGGTGTATTGGTGTACTATAATGGTTCAGGGGGACTGGTGTAGGGGTGTACCAGCATGGTTCAGGGGTACTGGTGTAGGAGTGTACTATCATGGTACAGGGGTACTGGTGTAGGAGTGTACCATCATGGTACAGGGGTACTGGTGTAGGAGTGTACCATCATGGTTCAGGTGTACTGATGTAAGAGTGTACAATCGTGGTACAGGGGTACTGGTGTAAGACTGTACCAGCATGGTACAGGGGTACTGATGTAGGAGTGTACCTTAATGGTACAGGAGTCCTAGTGTAGGAGTGTACCATCATGGTACAGGGGTACTGGTGTAGGAGTGCATCATCATGGTACAGGGTTACTGGTGTAGGAGTGTACCATCATTGTACAGGGGCACTGATGTAGGAGTCTACCATCATGGTACAGTAGTCCTAGTGTAGGAATGTGCCATCATGGTACAGGGGTACTTATGTAGGAGTACATCATCATGGTACAGGATTACTGGTGTAGGAGTGTACCATCATGGTACAGAGGTACTGGTGTAGGAGCGTACCATCAAGGTACAGGGGTACTGGTGTAGGACTGCATCATCATGGGACAGGGATACTGGTGTAAGAGTGTACCGTCATGGTACGGGGGTACTGATGTAGGAGTGTACCATCATAGAACAGGAGTCCTAGTGTAGGAGTGTACCATCATGGTACAGAGGTACTGGCGTACGAGTGTACCATCATTATACAGGGTTATTGGTGTAGGAGTGTACCATCATCGTACAGAGGTGCTGGTGTAGGAGTGTACCATCATGGTACAAGGGTACTGGTGTAGGAGTGTACCATCATGGTACAAGGGTACTGGTGTAGGAGTGTACCAACATGGTACAAGGGTACTAGTGTAGGATAGTACCATCATGGTACATGGGTGCTGGTAAAAGAGTGTACCATCATGGTACAGGTGTACTGGTGTAGGAGAGTACCATCATGGTACATGGGTACTGGTGTAGGAGAGTACCATCATGGTACATGGGTACTGGTGTAAGACTGTACCATCATGGTACAGGGGTACTGGTGTAGGTGTGTACTATCATGGTTCAGGGGTACTGGTCTAAGACTGTACCATCATGGTACAGGGGTACTGGTGTAGGTGTGTACTATCATGGTTCAGGGGTACTGGTCTAAGACTGTACCATCATGGTACAGGGGTACTGGTGTAGGAGTATACTATCATGGTTCAGGGGTACTGGTGTAGGAATATACCATCATGGTACAAGGGTACTGATGTAGGAGTGTACCATTATGGTACAAGGGTACTGGTGAAAGAGTGTACTATCGTGGTTCAGGGGTACTGGTGTAGGAATATACCATCATGGTACAAGGGTACTGATGTAGGAGTGTACCATTATGGTACAAGGGTACTGGTGTAGGAGTGTACTATCGTGGTACAGGGGTACTTGTGTAGGAGTGTACCATCGTGGTACAGGGGTACTAATGTAGGAGGGTGCCATCATGGTGCAGGGGTACTTGTGTAGGAGGGTACCATCATGGTACAAGGGTACTGGTGTAGGAGTGTAGTATCGTGGTACAGGGGTACTAGTGTAGGAGGGTACCATCATGGTACAGGGGTACTGGTGTAGGAGTGTACTATCGTGGTACAGGGGTACTGGTGTAGGAGGGTACCATCGTCGTACAAATGTACTAGTGTAGAAGGGTACCATCGTGGAACAAGGGTACTAGTGTAGAAGGGTACCATCATGGTACAAGGGTACTAATGTAGGAGGGTATTATCATGGTACAGGGGTACTAGTGTAGGAGGATACCATCGTGGTACAGGGGTACTAGTGTAGGAGGGTACCATCATGGTACAGGGGTACTAGTGTAGGAGGGCACCATCATGGTACAGGGGTACTAGTGTAGGAGGGTACCATCGTGGTACAGGGGTACTAGTGTAGGAGGGAACCATCGTGGTTACAGGGGTACTAGTGTAGGAGGGTACCATGGTGGTACAAGGGTACTAGTGTTGGAGGGTACCATCGTGGTACAAGGGTAGTAGTGTTGAAGGGTACCATCATGGTACAGGGGTACTAGTGTAAGAGGGTACCATCGTGGTACAAGGGTACTAGTGTTGGAGGGTACCATCATGGTACAGGGGTACTCGTGTAGGAGGGTACCATCGTGGTACAGGGGTACTAGTGTAGGAGGGTACCATCGTGGTACAAGGGTACTAGTGTAGAAGGGTACCATCATGGTACAGGGGTACTAGTGTAGGAGGGTACCATCATGGTACAGGGGTACTAGTGTAGGAGGGCACAATCATGGTACAGGGGTACTAGTGTAGGAGGGTACCATCGTGGTACAGGGGTACTAGTGTAGGAGGGTACCATCATGGTACAGGGGTACTAGTGTAGGAGGGTACCATCATGGTACAGAGGTACCAGTGCAGGAGGGCACCATCATGGTACAGGGGTACTAGTGTAGGAGGGTACCATCATGGTATAGGGGTACTAGTGTTGGAGGGTACCATCGTGGTACAAGGGTACTAGCGTAGGAGGGTACCATCATGTTACAAGTGTACTAGTGTAGGAGGGTACCATCATGGTACAGGGGTACTAGTGTAGGAGGGTACCATCGTGGTACAGGGGTACTAGTGAAGGAGGGTACCATCGTGGTACAAGGGTACTAGTGTAGAAGGGCACCATCATGGCACAAGGGTACTAGTGTAGGAGGGTACCATCATGGTACAGGGGTACTAGTGTAGGAGGGTACCATCGTGGTACATTGGTACTAGTGTAGGAGGGTACCATCGTGGTACAAGGGTACTAGTGTTTTAGGGTACCATCATGGTACAAGGGTACTAGTGTAGGAGGGTACCATCGTGGTACAAGGGTACTAGTGTAGAGGGGTACCATCATGGTACAAGGGTACTAGTGTAGGAGGGTACCATTATGGTACAAGGGTACTAGTGTAGGAGGGTACCATCGTGGTACAAGGGTACTAGTGTTTTAGGGTACCATCATGGTACAAGGGTACTAGTGTAGGAGGGTACCATCATGGTACAAGGGTACTAGTGTAGGAGGGCACCATCATGGTACAAGGGTACTAGTGTAGGAGGGTACCATCATGGTACAAGGGTACTAGTGTAGAAGGGTACCATCATTGTGCATGGGTACTAATGTAGGAAGGTACGATCATGGTACAAGGGTACTAGTGTAGGATTGCACCATCATGGTACAAGGGTACTAGTGTAGGAGGGTACCATCGTGGTACAAGGGCACTAGTGTAGGAGGGTACCATCATGGTACAACGGTACTAGTGTAGGAGGGTACCATCATGGTACAAGGGTACTAGTGTTTTAGGGTACCATCGTGATACAAGGGTACTAGTGTTTTAGGGTACCATCATGGTACAAGGGTACTAGTGTTGGAGGGTACCATCGTGGCACAAGTGTACTAGTGTAGGAGGGTACCATCTTGGTACAAGGGTACTAGTGTAGGAAGGTACCATCGTGGTACAAGGGTACTATCGTGGTACAAGGGAACTACTGTTGGAGGGTACCATCGTGGCACAAGGGTACTAGTGTAGGAGGGTACCATCTTGGTACAAGGGTACTAGTGCAGGTGGGTACCATCATGGTACAAGGGTGCTAGTGTAGGAGGGTACCATCATGGTACAAAGGTACTAGTGTAGGAGGGTACCATCATGGTACAAGGGTACTAGTGTAGGAGGGTACCATCATTGTACAAGGGT